AATATTTAACATTTGGATTTTAGATTTATATACCAATTTTATATATAGAAACAGGATGTATAAACAGATGTAGCATATAAAGTTGGATGTCTTTTTTTCAACATTTATATATTTGTGTTTTGCACCTAAATGCTAGATTTAAAAAAAAAACTCAAACAAATGTGGTAAAAGTGTAAAATGTAAGAGTGACATTTTTAGGTAAATATTTACATTTGGCCCCAAACTGGAGGCCAAAGGGCCATTAACTGAGTGGATGATGATGCTGATGATGTCTGCAAATGTGGGATCTCCCTCCAGTCTGGATTCTGTGAAGGATCTTTCTTTTTGTCTAGATCTCCCAGAAGTTCTGCTGTGAAGGAAGAAGACTGACCTCCAGGTCCTCTTGGAGGTAGTTGAACAGAACCACCTCCAGCACCAGCTCCTCTCCCCGGGTAATGCAGGCAGGAAGGTTGAGGGACAGGAAGAAGTCCTGAAACACCGTGAGCTGCAGGGAGACCAGAGAAGATCAGAGGAGCAGAAAGCAGGTTCTGAAGATGGATGATTTATCACAATGCAGCCTTTCAATGTTTATCTGGATCCTCCAGGTCCAGATAAAAAGCCGGCCTTGTTTTCCTTCATCCTGTTCATTTAACCAGCTGATTAATCTGCAATGTGGAGCCAGAGATGCAGATGGTTGGAACGGATCTCTGTACAGGCCTTTTACCTTCTGGACCTGGATTATCCACCTGTACTGGGATCTACAGCATACCTCTGCTGGTTTCTCTGTGACTCCCAGACCCAGGTCCTGGGACATGACGAAGGCGGAGGCCGTCCAGGTGGTGATGCTGTCAGGAACCGTCAGCGAGATCTCTTCTCCAACTGAAGCTCTACAGAAAGACGTCCAGATGTGACCAAAGAGAATCTAAAAGGTTTCAGAAAACCTTCCATAACTTTAGAAGTTTTATCTGCTTCCAAAGGTCCGATCGGAAAATCATCGTTTTTGCTTTTGGCACGGCTGAGGAGGTCTGAACAGGAAGACACCAGAAACCTCCGAATAAGAACCTCCAGAACCATCTGTGATCTCTGAGCTGCTGCTGACTCTGTTTCTGTGTTTAATGAGATGAATTCTGCAGATCTGGGCGAAAAGATTCAACCTCCTGCTCTAAATCTGAACCTAATGGTTCTGGAATAAAACAATAGAATACTGGGATCCATCACCCTGTGTTGACTTCCATCCAGACCCAGGTCTCCGGAAAGTTCTCACGCTTGTGCGGCTCTGGTTGTTCCTGGTGATGTTCTCCGTCCACCTGGAGATAGTGAACCAGCTCCTCTTCTGCTGTCCAGGAGATGAAGGTTAGTAACAGCAGGGGAGGAAGAACATCCAACTAACTGACAGAAATCATTTGGTTCTCAGCACGTCTCCAAACTCAAAAAAATAAAAAGAACAACAATTCAATTTTAATGGTTTGTGCAGAAGAAGGACTTTGACTTTAGTTCCTCTTTACTTCCATCATGATCAACAGTTTAGAAAATGAAGATGCAGAGAGAATCCTTAGAGGAGGAAAGGAAAGGATGGAGCAAAAGGATGGAGGAAATGATGGAGGAAAGGATGGAGGAGAGGATGGAGGACAAGATGGAGGAAAGGATGGAGGAGAGGATGGAGGACAAGATGGAGGAAGGGATGGAGGAAAGGATGGAGAACAGGAAGAAGGAAGGGGTGGAGGACAAGATGGAAGAAGGATGGAGGACAGAATGGAGGACAGGATGGAGGAAAGGAAGGAGGAAGGGATAGAGGACAAGATGGAAGAAGGGATGGAGGACAGGATGGAGGAAAGGATGGAGGAAAGGATGGAGGAAGGGATAGAGGACAAGATGGAGGAAAGGATGGAGGAAGGGATGGAGGACAGAATGGAGGACAAGATGGAAGAAGGGATGGAGGACAGGATGGAGGAAAGGATGGAGGAAGGGATAGAGGACAGGATGGAGGAAAGGATGGAGGAAGGGATGGAGGAAGGGGTGGAGGACAAGATGGAAGAAGGGATGGAGGAAGGGGTGGTGAAGAGGATGGACAGTTTTAGGACCTTCTGTGGACCAGATGTTTCTTTATTTGGTCGTAAATCTAATAAAACTGGACTTTAGGACCCGGGTTCAGTTCTTAAACTGGATCATCAGGTTGACTGCTTGAAAAAAAAGACTTCAGACTCACTGAGCTGCAGCCATGTTGGGTTTGGTTCGTGTAAAGTGGCATCAGTCATCACAGCGAGATCACACATCTGCAGAATCAAAGTTCACAGCCTGTTAGCTGGACGGTCCCTGCTGATGCAGGAAGTTACTGAAACTGGATCAGCCTGGAAACTCATCGGGTTTCTGAGGAGGATCACCTGGAAAATGGAGTAGGGATCTCCCATTGTAATCTCTTCTCTGAGGGCGTGGCTCATGGGAGCGT